AATGGTAATTTATAATCAGTCACAAGAACGTCGAATCTGAATCACTTGAAAAAAACACGGGGGTGCTTAACTTTTTTCCAGGTGTATATATAAACCAAACAACAACAAATATATGTTCAAACATATTCCTCTTTTTTATTCATTTTTTCCATTTATGCTCCTATCTTTGAAACATTTTTTTCAATCAGTTGACAGATGAAATCCCCTTTTTTTTTTGTGAAATTCTCTCACAAAAAAGAAGCAAGTTTTTTCTCAGATTGACCATTCAGCACAAAGGAGGACTCATTGATCAATGTTGATATCAACATCAAATTTTAGAAATTGCAAAAAATTGACAAATTTATTCCTGTAATGTACGTTTGAAATGATGCACTAAGATGTATATAATTTTTCTACGATTAACCAGGAGATAGTGTAACAGATAGCCAGACATTTGGCTATCATACATATATATATATATATATATCTTAACTACACAATAAAGCTTTTAACTACCCAACAACTAAAAGTTGAATAGCTAAATAACTAAAATATACAAACTGAAGCATCTACCTTCTACTCATCTAATAAAGAATTTTTTACAAAGTAAAACCATTAAAAGTGGAAAGATCTGTTCTAACATAACAGATATTTCATGTAAGGAACAAAAAATATGGTAACTATAAACACAGAGGAAATTATTCTTTAGCCAGGAAACATAGCTTTACTACAAAATGATTCACAGATGTAAGGGCACAAAAGTTTTTTAAACAATTTGGAATAACAAGGATATCATCAATAATGTATAGAAAGGAAAAAATATAATTACAGTAACAGATATACGAAGCTAAATATAAATAAAAAAACAAGTTAGAACAATTTTAAATCATATGAATATTATGTGTCCTCAAGTCAACCTTAAAGTTACCTTTAAACCTCCCCTTAGACTAAAGAATTTTTCAACAGTAAAGGATGTCTTCTAATTACCCATTGTTCATGGCTCATTTGTGTATACACATGCAGAAACTGTAGAGCTTTACAAGTGTGCTAAACTAGGTGCCACTTTAAAGTAGAAGTGCATGAACATGTGAGAGCATCAGTCAAAACAGGTAGAAGAGTAACAACCCTTCTCTTTGATATGCACCAGCACAGTGAACACACAGGATATTCAATCAGTATATCAAACTTTAGAATTCTTGCTACTGCTGAGGCTGAAACTGAACTTTTCCTACAAGAAACCATAATAGTTAAACAGTTTTTTCCCTCTCTCAAAAACACACAATCTTCGTATGATTTAAAATTATTCTAACTATTTATAGTTATATTTAGCTCTACGTATCTGTTACTGTAATTATATTTGTTTTCATTGCTACAGATCACTGATAATGGAATCCTTGTTATTCCAAAACTTTAATCAATATGTTTTGTGCCCTTGCATTGGAATTTTGTTATACCTACCTAGCGTAATGTCTTTTGAATTGCATATAGGTCTAGATCCATTGATTAATGCTTCCATTTGTAAGATTCTTTGTTTCATTTCCTCTATCTCCTTTTTAATTAGGTCTGGATCCTGAAATAAATATTTTTGTAAATATAATAACTCATATAGAAAATACTGGAAGAATTCAATTAATGAGAACAGCAACAAGTTGTAATATCTAAGCAATATTCAATAATTCAAAACCTTTACACACTAGACCTACTTAGTATTGACTTTCATAACTATATGTTTAATATTCCCTAAGGTTCTAAGCATATGTTAATTTCATTGGAAGTTCAGAAACTCAGCTAACCCACTTTATTAAACGTTATGCTCAGAACTAATAACGTTTTTTTAACTATTTAAGTTACTCCATGAAAATTTAACTTATCAAGACAGACAGAAATATGCAATAGATAAAAAATATACAAAATATCATTAAATATACAAAAGTTAAAGTGATTTAGCAGTGTCTAATGTAAAAAATAAACACATAAGCAGCATAAAAAATGTGTAATTTTTACTTGCTTTAAAATAATGTCCTTAAGTTCAAAACTCACACAAGTAAATAATTTCCTACACATTAACTATTTTAAATTTCACGCATATTTACTATAGTGTTATAGAAAATATTTTCCTCAAAGAAAATAGTATAGACTTTTACTAAGTTATATTAAACACCAAGATATTAGTTAAAGCATTTAAGGTCCATATCATACAGATACAACAAACAAGTTAATAATACAAGTTGCTAAATAATGAACTTGAGTGCAGCAAAAAAATAAAAAAAAATCAAAATTAGCATTCAATTTTTGATTAAAATGCACAAACCCCACTTAAAGATTCCCCTTGACTTGACCAGGCACTTGATGTTGTCATGTCGTTAGAAGTTGCACCTGATCTCTGAGTTTCTTGTGCTAGGAAAGATCATATAAAATTTATTACATTAATACTACATATCTTACAGCTATGATAGAAGCTGAGCTTTTTTTTTCGGGGGGGGGGGGGGGTATTAGTATTAACCACAGTATCAGTAAACATAAAGACCATATGTAACATAATATGGTTCTGCCGAGTTAAAATCCACAATAAAGCAGCATAATACAGGGTGAGGCACTGTGGACTACACAGTTGTTTAATTTAGAAAATGTTTTACTCTCAAGCAAACAATAATTCAATTGATTTCGATTATCTCTGTAATATTTTTTTTTGCACCAACTGAATAATATGAACTGCACCAACTATGTAGTAACTTTAGCAGACTCACATTCCTGTGGTGTGTCTTTTGTCTCACCCTGTATATCCGGAATACATTACCTATTATTCTTATTTTTCTAGTTTCAAAATCTCAGTACAAAAACCTTTTTATTATTAAGATTTTTCCACTCTGAGCACAAATTTTCTGTAATTTTTCCACCTTTTTTTCAGTGAAAAATAGAAGTTAACAGCTTTTTTTGCAGGAAAAACCATTATCACAGAACAGATTTATTTTAATACGATTTAAAAATTCTTAAATAATTAAATCAAATCAAATATAAATATTAAAGCTTATGCTTTTATCTTTAGTTAAAATAAAAATATTTTGGGCTATATGAAAATGAAATTGAATGAAACATTTTCCAGATTTTATACAGGTAAAAAAAAACATTACTAACAAACTTTCTCTCAAAATACAATTTTCATGCCAATAAAGACAGACCCTTGGGGTTCATTTTTAACTGATGTTTGAGCAATAATATGCTTTTCAATAATTTATGAAACTTAAATATTTGAGTAGATTATTTGTTCTCTGATAATGCTTTTAATTTGCTTTCTTTATGGATTAAAACATCTAACTTAAATGAAAACATACTTTAGAAATGGAATCAGAAAAAAAAATGACACCTAAAAACTTATGGAATAAAATTACACAAATGGTGAAAATATAACCATCTTAGAAATGACTATGGAATACATTCTTAAAATTCAAAATGATCAGCATGTGCTACATGATATTTCATGTTTTTATTGTGCTTTTACAGTTACTGAAAACAGCTTAATCATGGTTATTTCTCTTTCCCTAAATGATAATTATAGATATTTACATGTATGTTAACTGGCCACTTCATCAGGAATCCATCTCCTAAAACTGGGTTAAACCTACTTTTTTTACCACAATAATAGCTTGATCTCAGCATAGCATGGACTTTATAAAATGTCAAAGTTGTCTCTCATTCAATTGTAGCTCATACATAGAAGAATATATCTACTGTTTGTTCATATATGTTAGCAAAGGCTTATGAAGACAAATCTGATGTTCACATTTATCCCAATTGGTCTGAGATCCATTCAGATGAATGAAGTCACAAGCATGTTCTGTGAACTAATTTTGAGTATGGTGGATTGTTGTATTGTCATCTTGAAAGATCCCTTGTTCATGAGGGTGAAATGGGTTTTACTGGTAACAACATTAAGGATACCAGATGTTAATCATGTTATACACTCTTGTTATAAGGGTTAAGTGGTTTTCTTCATATTTCAATTCTACCTTCATGAAAATAAAAAGTGACTCATCAGAACATCTTCATTTCCAGTAACTTACTACAGCTGGGCAACAGGGTTTGCAATAGTACCTCAGTACCAGGTTGCCAGTACCGGTACTCGAGCACCTCGAATTTTTTTTCACATCAAACCAAATTGTCAATTATCTGTAAACCCTCATGTTATGACGACTATGGCAATGAATCAGTTGAAATCCAGGCTTTCTATTAAATTTAATGGGAGCTGTCCTCAGAAAAATCTATTAGCTAATTGTAAATTAAAGCATGTGAGAGTTAAGCGTGGAAAGCGGTTTCTGAATTTTCATTTAATGCTCTTTAACCCCATAAGATTGAAGAAGATACCTCACACAAGAAGAATTTCAGGTTGTTTTTAAATATTTTAAAACTTATATAATATTAAAATTTGATTCATTATCTATGGTATGATGTGCAGAACAAATAACCAAATTCTCACACTAGGGGAATTTGAGGTTGTTTTTAACTATTTCCTTATATAATATTAAAATTTGATTTATTATCTATGGTTTGATGTCAAGTTTGTTCGTATAGCATGATAATTAAGTAGTTTGATTAAATTTTTAACCAAATGTGCAATCAGTCACGTAGGCACATTCACATTCTCTTCCAGAGCATGAGAGTTACCAGTTTACCATATTTCATGCTATTGCCAATTTTTACTGTGAGATTCGCTTATCAACTGATGTATGAACTCAAAACTACCACATCAAACATTTATAATTCTGTGAAAAGTGAAGCTGAAATATCAGAGGCGGCATTCAGTCGAAACTCCGAAGATGGGACATATGATAACAGCTATTATTATGAACATATGATATACTATAAACCACTACCGGTACCACTGGTACGAGATGCCAAGTTCTTCTGGTACCAGTACCAACTGCAAACCCTGCTGGGCAATCAATGGAATTTGATAATTGATTAATCATTAGACTCATTAATCATTTGCATTCAACTAATCAAATATTCTCACAACAGATAGTTGGAATAATCGAAAATAGAAATAATCAAAATCACTAATTTCAATTAGTTGATTATTTTTTCAGTTGTGACACTAATAAATTATGCTTAACAACTTTGAATTGAAAATGATAATGAGAAATCATAATGGCAATATTTTGATTAATTGTGCACTTGGAATGATTGAAAAAAACAATAATATGAACCCCAAATCTCAATTAGTTGACTATTTTCATGACATTAATTGATTTAACTATAACTTTGATTAATCAATTATCTTATGTAACACAAATCAATGCAATCTATACAGGTAATTGATTAATTGAGTCAATTGCTCAGCTTTATTATATGCTGTCCACAGTTTATGTTCTAAGTACCATACTATGACCACACTTTCCTATTTGTATACAAGTGGTTTAAAAATTACTGAATGAATTTATTGACTGAAACACAGATCCATGGTCAGTCAAAAGCATTTAGTTTTTTTTCCTTAAAGGCAAAATAGCCACTGTTTATAAGCTCCAATGCAGCACTTCCCAAACTATTTTCCTGTGTGACTCTATTTGGAGTCAACAATTTGCACAACCTTAGACAGCACCCAAAACAACATATTGTTGCGTGAGCGAGGTCATGTGACTAATGTCACGCCACTTCTCTCGAACCTTCGGGAATAGTCGGGAGATTACTAGATATAGGGTAGTCTGGTATATAAAAGAGGGTGACAACGTGATGAATTAATGTGTGTGTAGACAGTGAGTAATTGATCTGGTAGACAGTGAGTAATTGATCTGCAGTCAGAGAGTATTATTGAGCACGTTCGTTGTTATAGCGTTTGTTTTAGCACGATTGTTGAAATTAAGTGTATCGTAAAGTTATATTCGGAAAGAATAAACCAGTTTTATTAAGTAAGGACTTGTGTCGCTAAAGTTTCATCAGAACGAAGTTACGGAAAGTTAATTAACAAACGGAGACGTAACAATATCAATCAAAGTGTCATAGCAACCAACATATTCACAGGGTGACTTTCAAAAGTAAGTCTTGTTGTTGTAATCTTCTCATGACCCACCCACCCCACAATTTGGAAGCTGATCTTTTGCCAAATGGGTACAAACAATTATGTCTCCTTCAAATCACAGAAATTCCTGCCCTTAACCATTGTCTTGCTAACTAACCATGAAATGAGCGAATCACTGACTCAACACGTGATCAGTCTGTTTTGTACATATAAATCAAATGAAGTTTCTCAAATGTGTACAACAGGTTATAATGAAGTACCAATTCAATATATAATTATGTTTAATTAACAGTCTACTAAGATAATAATATTGCTCTCTTACCTACAGGTGTTTTCCACATATGACATTTATTCTTGTCTCAGAAATAGTAACTCATAACAACTCTTCTTGCACTTCATATTAGTAATAATTTGATACACTGGTGACCAAGTGTCTTTAGATATTCAAATTTTAAATAGGCAGTATTACATTCAAAAATGCCAAAAAATGTCAGGACTTAACAGTAATTGGATGCTGATGCATCTGAAATGTAATGTAGTAGCAGCAATCTACACAATGAAATATATATATATATATGTGTGTGTATATATAGGTTGAACATTTAATAGCATATTCAAAGGAACATTGTTTTTTGCTTCATGAAAGGGACACTGTTTAGAAGAAGGTTTCCAATGGAAGTTTTCTACTTACTTAACATGCATGATATATCAGCTTAAAATAGTGTTAGCTTTTTTTTTTACATAAAAAAAATATTATTTCCTAGATGTAACTCCAAGTTTACATAGACATTAAAAAAATGATGAGACAAACAATAGACTTTAGATATTGAAAATTGTTGTGGCCTACCCATACAAGTAACATTCGCATATGACTGATGTTAGAAATAACACTTGAAACAGCAAGACTGTACTAAAATAAACTTTATAAGCTATGTCTTAAAACTACACTTACATGTAAAAGTAGATATCTGCCTAGGAAGGACATCCTTTCGGCATGAAACTTGAATGTGGGATAAAATATTACTTGATTGAGTATCCTGCTGCAAAGATTTTTCAAGGACTTCAAGTTCATTTTTGTTCCACGAAGACACTTGGCTTTTACTTAAATCTTCCATTAACACAGCCTTGCTATCCAGAGGTTCTTTCTGTCTATCTAAAATATCTTGGGTTTGATGGTCAGCTCCTGGAAAAGTATTAACCAGATTTCCCACTTGTCTGCAAGACTCGTCAAAATTTGTAGATACTTCGTTCACACAAACCACTGAATGATTCACAGACTGTTCAAATAGGTCTTTGTTGTCAATGTCAGTATTCAAAGTAAAAGGTTTTTTCACGAGTTCTTCAGAGCACTGTGAAGAATTGATTTCTTTCAAATTCTCTTTTTGGTCTGTTAACTGATCTAATAATTTTGCATCACGCAGCTGTTCTGTGAAGTCAAACTGTTCTTCTGAATTTTGGGCTGGCCTATGTGATGGATCTAGAGTGTTCGATTTCTGTCCTGTAAATTCGGAATGCCCTTCCAATAAATTAGTTTTCTGGTGTTCTTCTTCACACATTCCTTTTGTGCTGTGTTCCTGGAATAACTTACAAGTTTGTCCTTTTGAAATATATATTTCATTAGATGGCCATTGGAATCTTTCTTCTACATAAGTATTTTCAGCGGAAAACTTATGACATTTTTCAACGTACTGACCTAGTCTTTGCAATTGATTATCCTGTTTATAGAGCTGTGTTGACGACTGATTTTGTCGATCTTCTTCCTTTAACATCTCATTTGATAACTGTGGTGGCTGTCTTTCTACATTACTGATCACAGCTGTACGTTTCAAGTTTCCTTTCACATCAAGCAGTTCTTCATCTGAACTGTCTGATGAATCAGAAAGTTGTCTTATTCGATGAAATTTTTTTCTTCTAAGCACCTTATGACATAATTTTGTTTGGTCATTATCACAAAGTGACATTTCCTGTTGGTTACATTTTTTTTCTTGAACACTCTCATCAGCAAATTTGTACAATTCTGTATTAACCAAAGCTCTTGTTTCATCACATCTGTTGTTTAAGTTTTCTGTTGTTAGTAAGTCTTGCTCACTTCTATCATTAGACTCTTTGATTGGTTTCAGTTTTCTAGATGTACAAGATACAGTTCCCGATGACTGTTGTCTTGTGGTCAAAGTCTCCAGAGGATCAATGAGTTCAGCTGCAAACAATGCATCAGCATCAGATGAAGAAATTTTATATGCTGAAATCAGCTTGTCAAACAAAACAGATTGTGAATTACTGTTCTCATCGTCTTGTACTGATGGGCTGATGATTTCTAGAGTAAAATCACTTTTTTCAGAGTTTAAATAAGATTTTTCTTTCTTATCAACAAAGCTTTGGCCTCTACTTTTTATATTTTCTGTAAATGATTTTTTAAAAGTTGTAGTATTAGAATGATTTTTTTCAAATATCTTCATGTCACTGCTTTTTGAATCAGTTTTTGCAACCTCTACAGTGCCAGTGTTTATAACATGATCCATTTTATTTAAACTAGAAACTGATTTGGCTTCTTGAATGGTAGCCTTATAAACATCTACTTTCTCATTACAAGTAGTCAAATCAGACACACTGTTAGGACCACACTCATATGTAATCACAGGTTGAAATATTTCTAGTCTTGAGTTACTGGGATTATCTAGTTTTATATGCACCAATGAGTCCTTGTCAGAATTATTAAGTTTAACATTTTCATTAAAGCCAACTCTAAAATTCTGTTCCTCAAAAGTAGCTGCACTCTGATTCAGAACTAGACCAGGCTTAACATCTTCTCTGGAAGATGTTGTAAAATCTTTTTGAATTAACTGGTTCAAATTTTCTATGCTATTTCTATCAACACAAGTTATCTGTTTTGTACCCTCATTCTGCAGGTTACCATAGCATTGGTCCTTTTCTTTATCTTCAATAAACAATGATTGATCTGTCTGAATGCTTTTGTGATTAGCTTTCAAGCAAAAACCCGTATCTACCTGAGTGGTGACATCCTTCTTTTCTTTGTCAGAAACAGAAGAAACTGAAAGAACAAGGGTTTCATTTTCAATGGTTACTTCCAGTTTTACAGTGGAATCAGAGAGCTTGATAGTTTTACTTGTACTGCTATTTGTGATTGTTTCTAGCAATATCTCCCACCGTTTCACGTAACTCTTGTTGACATTAGGAATGAGAGATGTTGCAACAAACTGCTGAGAATTTAAATCTAAAGATGGTGTCATTGAATCATTTCTTCTAAATTGTGATATAACATCGTTGCTCTTTTCACAACTTGATGAAGTATTTTTAAGTATTTTAGACAACTTTTCTTCCGAAATCTTTTCAAGTTCTGTATTTTCATTAAGTGAGAAGTTTTTGTCATTTCCTTCATTTAGAGGACAAAGTGAAATAATTTTGGGGCATGAATAACTTGTCTTTAAATTGTTATATGAACTTATTTCTAAATTGCAAGATGGTTCTAATTTCTTGGTATCTAAGGAAGAATCCTCAACTTTCAAAGTACAAGATTTATTGTTTTTAACATGAGTAGACACATTTGATATTTGTGTTTCATTATGTTCTTTCATTGTTTCTGTATACATTTCTTCCCTCTTCTGAGTACATGAAAAATCATGAGCTACTTCTTCAATTTCTTCCTTAGAATCTTTACAACCCTCCTTAGAGGCAGCTTCAGAACAAAGTTCATTAAACATTTCTAATGTATTCATACTCTTACTGTTCAGTTGCTCCCAGTCTTGAGTGTCCACATGAATAGTAAAAGTCTTTCTTATGGGTTTTTTCATACATTTTTCAATATCCTTCAGAGAAATTTCCTCAGTGTCCAATAAACTGTCTGGCAGTATCATTGAACCATCAATGTTTGTATTTATTTTAGTAAAGGACATTGGAGGATTACTCATGGTTAATTCATTCTGAGTGCTATTAAGACAAATCTGATTCACTACTTCTGGTTCTTTCTTTTCTAAATTGCTTTCGGAAATTAAAGAGGGTTGGGCAGCGCTAGATTTTGAATGGACTTTTCTATTTTCTTCTTGTTTTGGCGAAGACACTAATCTGAAAGATACTGCTGCTTGTGGTGTTCCTGCAACTGCTGAATCAGCCAAACTGTCAGTTATTTCAATGAAGTTCTGAGAAGTATTAATATTTCCTAGCGTCATTTGCTCTTTAGTTCCTTGTTTTGTAGTAAGAACATCATTATGTTGCTCTATATTTTTTAAACAGTTTTTCATAAGTACTTCACTTTTTGTAGTATTGTTGTCTTTTTTGCATGATGGATTAAAATTACTTCTGTGCTTGTTTTGTCCAACCCTAGTATAAGAATTTGTATCCACAACTCTTTCTTGCAAAGGAAAATTCTCTTTAATGGTTTCTTTTGCCTCACTCTCTAAGTCTCTAGTTGCATCTGGAAAGCAGTTTTTATCATATGGATTGGATGCCACAGAAAAAGCATCAGTTTCATCAGAAGTCACTGGGTAAAGTTCTACAGGAACAGTGTTGTCTGTTTCATCTGAGATTGAAATAGTTTCAAAGTGCATTTTAGTGCTATTTCTTTGAAGTTTTGTTTCCTGTTTTTCCAAGGTTTCAAGAATTTCTTGCTGAGGACCGTTTTTTTTCTGTGCATTACTTGCATAGTTTTCTGGTTTATCAGTATTTTGCTGGATTTCACAAGGAATTCCTAAAATATGGTCAAGTAATGATATACTGTTCTTATGATTTTCAAGCTTATTCTTTTCATCTGTACTTGTGTTTATTTCCAATCTCATATCTTTTTTGGTAATATTTTCCAATTTTTCTTCAGATGTTTGTCTTAATTCCGTTTCACCTATTCTGCTGATAGCCAGGTTTTCTTCATCTTCTGTAGGTATCCTAAGTCTGTTTCTTTGGTTCACTTCATGAGACTCAACAGGTAAAGTAAAAGCTGGAGTGAGAAAAAAGTAATAATCGTCAAGTGTGTTATAGTTATCATTTTCTGTACAAAAACCATCTTTATTGTTTAAGGGATTAAAAATGTCTTTGTTCCCATAATCAAAATTTTTACTTTTCTCAGTTGTTTGTTCACACATCAGAAGTTCATTTACATGTGGGGACATCACTTTTAACTCTTGCTTGTCAACACTCATATAATCGCTATTGTCTTTATTTCTCTCTGCAAGAGGAGACTTGATTTCTTTTTTTCTTTGGCATAATACTTTCTTTCTAGCACTCATACAATTATTTTCCTTATTTTCTGTCACAGTTTGAATATTTTCAGTTACTTCTTTCCCATTATCTGTAGAAGATTGATTTATGATGTTATTCACATCACAGAAGTATTCTAACTTTCTTTTCTTTAATGACTGAAGTGAGGTACCTTCATGAACCTCCTTAGTTTTTCCCAGATTTATACTTCTTTCTGGACTACAAAAGTTTGTAATTGTATTTGATTTGTTCAAACTGTCATCATTCTTCCAGGCAGCACAACTTTCTGTGTGTCCATTTTCAATGTACGCATTTCTATCATTTAAAATCTTCAAATCAACTGATTCAATGACATCTGCAGGTTCTTTTCCCTGTTCCTCTACTGGTGCAAAAGGGCTGAGACACTGAGCTAACCATTCTTCTACTTTCTGATTTGAATCAATATCTTTATCCTTTTTGTGTTTTTTGCAAAGGTTATAGTCCTTTTTATGCCTAGTATAGTCTTTTCTAAAAGAAAAGTTTCTGTGAACCCTAATATTGTTTAATCTCTCATTCGAATCAAAAGTCTTTTGAATTTTACTAGAAATATCCCTTGCTGGTTCCTCTTCAGCAGTGCTTACATAGTTTTTCTGAACAGTATCTATGTTTTTAGTAATAGTTTCTTGAGCTTCTGCTGGCAACACAACAACATCTTCACCGTATTTTGTCTTGTTAGAGGTTAAGCCTAATGCATTTTCTTTATCTTTATAATCGGTGGGTATGAAAGCTTGTATTTTTGTTTGAATTTTCTTATCAGAAGAGGTAGCAACATTACTGATTGAATCAGGTTTCAAACATATTCTATTTTTATGAGTTTCCACATCATGAGGAATAAAATCAGAGTTTTTTAGATGTGACTTCAGTAACTCCAATGATATATTTGACGTTTTATCATCATTAGATTTTTGTTCAAAAACTGAATTTTTTGATTTACATTGCTCTTCATTGTTCAGGTGTAGTTGTTGTTCTAAGATCACATTTGCATCTCTTGAAACTCTAACATTACCATGTGATTTGACTGTATTTTTATCTTTATAAGCTTCCTCATCATTACTCCTTCCTTTGACTCTTACAGAACTTCTAGTCATTGTTTTGGGTTTTCTCCTTGTCACAGGAAAGCCACTCCTGATATACATATAAAAAAGAATACAAATTAAGTAAAATTCTTTGCTTATGAACTAATTATGATGAAAATAAATAGTTAAGGTAAACATATTTCCATAAGACTATAGGTCAGAATCAAAATTAACACCTGCAAGTCATAAGTATTCTGTGTTAAAGTACATTAGCATAACAAGTATAAATAGGATGAATAATGCAATAAAACCAGAAAATGTATGGTAAAATGAAAGTATAAAAAAAACTACTTTTGACACACAACAGGTACGTAATGCAATTTGTGGTATAATGTGGAATTTGACATAAATATGAACATACAATAATTTCAGTGAATCATTAGCTTTATTATTAACTAATACTGAGCTGTGATTTTTTTTAGTTTGTCAATGTTTCCTTAACTTGTAGCTGTGAAAACTTCAAATTTAGAAACCCAAACAGTACTATACATGAAAAATCAGTTTATCCAGAGTGTGCTCCTTTTTAGGTTATTAAAATAACTGAATAAATGTAATACACATGGCAAATTTGCTTATTTATATTTTTTGTTTTGTATTTGGTCATTTTTGCCAAATTTAAAGCCTGTGTAACTCGTAGTTACAAAATACAATCCATTTGAGTTTTTTTATTTACAATTTCGATCATGAAACACATATCAGTATCTTTGACTGGACAATGCTATTAATCTAAAAATATACTTCCAATGTAACCTCAATATATAAATTTTGTTTCCAATGAAGAAGATAATATAAATGGTTACTTTCCTACAGTTTTAATGTTTTTTGGTTTAACCTGAATTACATTATAAATCTGTTGAATATCCTTTTGTAAGTATTCCTTTAATGTATATCAATGATTAGTTTTTAAAAATACACAAATATTGTTAAAATACTACTACAGAATTGTCTTCAATCTATTTTATGTTAGTTTTAATTATATTATTTGGATTTCTAAAATTCAAGTTACACATAACATTCATTAACTGAAAAATCTGAAGTTCATTCTTTATTGTAAAACCACAAGAACTGTCTAAAGAACTAGTATATAACTAGTTGAACTCTATCAGTGGTGATCCATAGTAAGTCATAATGAGGTTGACCTTTGCCTGACGCTACTCAAACTTGTAACTGCTGTAACCCCAAACTTCCTTCCTTCCTTCCCGAACTTCTTTGTAAAGGTAATTACTATATCAGTGATTTATGAAACTAGAATCCATGTTACAGCATGGTCAGTTAATTTTTTGCATCTCCTTGGCCTTGTATCAAATTTAGGACCTCCCAATTCCTCTACTAACTGATATTAAGGGTTAACCCATTATCTACTGCTAGTAAGGTACTTTTAAACAATTCAAGCTCTCACAATAAGAATGAAAGATACTTGAGTTCTTTAATAATAATTAATATAACTATTAATGATTGCATAGAGTTCATATCAACATCTTCTATTCCACACACTTTTAATTATTTCCTACCTAAAACTTTTAATATTTTTAAAATTAAAGTTTTGCTGAATTAACTTTAATTATAATTTAAACTATGAGGTAACAGCTTTTTTTTCTGAAGTTTAGTTTCACACACACCGTAACTGGCAATGTAATGATACTATAAGTTATTTCAAACAGTTTGTCTTCTAAATGTTGTAGAAGTTTTGAACAATAATCTACTCAGTCTACTTTCTACTTCTACAAAAGAAAGTTTTATCTACTTAATACAATCACTTACTGAATATTAACGTTTGTCGACCAAGTAGAATGGACCATAGTATCTTCATTTGTGTCTATGTAAAAAAAAATTTAATTTACAAAAAAAAGAATTTACAGAAACAGTTTATCAGTTGTCAAATATCAATACAAAATTATAAACTAATATTGGCAAGTTGTATTAAACCATTAATATTTGAATATATATATATATATATATATATATATAC